ACCCTTTCTAAGTCTTTTCTTTTTATACTTTATGCAAAATTATATGCAAAAAGAAAGTGGGGAGAAGAAAGAAGACAAGAAAAAGGGAGAAAAATCTACAAACTTGCTTCTCTTATACTAGTCAAAACTGGCCTTCATATATATTCATGTCATGTTATAGAGCTAAGATTGTTACAATTTAAGTCAGTTTACTAAGAATAGAAATTTAACTTATACATTAGTATAAAGTCCATTTTTTTGTCTTTAATAAAACAGAAGAAATTGCACCCAGAAAAAAAGGAAAGAAAGAAAATACATAATGGCTGAATGAAAATTAATTGATGTCTTTGAATTGTGCTGGAGAAAATTCTTGTAAATACAGTATCTTGGACTGCCAGAAGAGCAAATCATTCAGTTCTAGATGAAGTAATTCTAGACACTTGCTGGAAGCACTAATAATGAAGCTAAAGCTTTAAATATATTGGACATATAAAGTATAATGTGAGGGCAAGGGTCTTTGGAGAAGAGGTTGATGCTTGGAAAACAACAAAGGCAATAAAAAAAAGAAGAAGCTGACAGCAGACAATAAGGCTCAATAGTATAGTACCAATAATGACATCCACATGAATGTGTAAGAACTTAAAGCAGAGTTACTGACAAACAAACTAAGCAAAGTGATGTCAAAAAGAGTTGAACAATAACAAAATAGATAAACGGGTCTTATAAGATAAAACTTTGTTTGCACAGTTTTGCAGATAGCGCTGTTAAAAAAAAATCTAAAGTCCACTCAAGTTAAGAATATACCTTTAAGGTTGGCATCATTAATCCAGTGATTGAGAATGATAATTTAATTTACCATGAAGTATCCTTCCAGGGCCCAGACAGTGAAGTCCTGCCTAATGAAAAGAGAAGGGCCCCAGTTAGGAAAACAAAGAATTCCAACTGTGGCATAAATTGGAACAACATTATTGTCTGAGATTGTAATGTTTGCTATTAATAAAAGAATGTGTGTTTTACAAGTGGACCAAACATGCCTGAGTCAATTCTTGTGACTAAAGTGGAATTTCCTCCCAAGGAAACACCAAGGAAATTCTTGGACCTACCTTCTCACTTTCTTGACTTTCATGTTGGGTCTGTATTCCATTGAGCAGAAGGATACTTCAGGGTAACCATGGAAGCCATGTCTTTGGTAATCACTGAAAAAAGAAACTGGGGTAGCTATCCTTTTCCTTATGACCCTAAAATATGTTTTTGTTGTTATTGTTGTTAAAGCAAGTCTTAGCATTCATATACTATTTTGCGTATTTAAAGTACTTTGAAGTACATTGAAACTGGAAAGGTGGAATAGATAGTTGAATAAATAACAAATGTTTTGTAATTGTTAGAAAGCTTGTCCCTCCATTATATTTACTCCATGTGGGCTTATCTTCCTCCAGTAAGATGTATTCAGATTCTTTACAGGGTTATTCTTCCCACTGACTAATAGTTCAAAACACTGAGGTACTCATAGAGCCTTGAGAGTGCAAGATCTATCCTGGTATCTTTTACAAAAATGGAAAGTTTCTACAGTGATTAGGGTGTTCTTGAGCTAATAAAGGAGAATGAATCAGCCTCCACATGTTAAAATGCAGGACGGTGTGTTACTTGCTGGGGTATGTAATATGTGGTCAAATTGTATATCCTTTAAAAAACTAGCCATCCTGGTTTTACTTGATATGTATAGTTTGTTTTACAAAGTAATTGTATCAATATTTCCCATGCTAATTTTTTGTTTCATCTATAATGTAGTTTCAACATGTAGCATATCTGTCAGTTTAAAGAGCTTTTAGATTAAATATTTTCTCTTTATTTGAACTTTTTTTCCAGAGTGCTTGATATTTATTGAATGTATGTTTGTATTTTTGGCATTTACCTTTTTTCTCCCTAAAACAAACAAACAAAAAACCCCATACTCAGATTACATGTCCCCTGTGTAGTAAATCCATTGCACATTTTAAATTCATTGATATTTTCATACTGCCAGCTAGTTAGCTAAGACCCTGCACAGCAAAATGGGAAAATGTATGCCCTTATTCCAGTCCTGCATACATACTTACATACATATATATAGTATTAAGAACAGTAATTCCTCCCTGAGTCAGGCTTGATTCCAGGTCACTCTACATTCATACTTTTCTTGACAAAAATATAAAGTAGTTTGCCATTAACTTCTTCTGGGATGCTTTCCAACTTTCAGATTAGTCAACAAACCTGGGACTAATCCTTGGTGCTCTCCCATTTGTAATAACCAGGCCCAACTCAGCTAGGCTTCCAAATTCAAACAAGGTCAGCCAACTGTGGTCAGATATTGAGACCCTTCACATGAGAATTAGAAGCTATTGGCTTAAAAGAGCAAGACTATACACTAAGAAGGAGGCTCAGGGGTGCTGTGGATCTGAATCACACTGATGCTAAATAAGGATAATTTGGTATCTTTTTCCAATTACCAATAATTTTGTGTTTTTTTTCTCTTGGAACATAGCAATGAGAGCTCTTAATATACTGAGATACTTTTTGATTGTTTTAAAATTTGTGCCTATAGTTAAATCCAAATATTTACTATATTTTTAAAATAGGGTATCATACTAGGAAGCTAGTATGTAATTCTTACTTGTGCAGAATAAATACATTATTTTGCCTTTCTTTCTTTCTTTCTTTCTTTCTTTCTTTCTTTCTTTCTTTCTTTCTTTCTTTCTTTCTTTCTTTCTTTCTTTCTAAATTTGGAAGTTTCATTTTTATATGCTTCTCAGTATAAACAGAATGATAGCAAACCTGTATTGCAGTTCAATCTTGGTCAGTATCTAATGCTACAATTTGCAGTCTCTGAAATAAAAGAGGACTGAATAAAAGGATGGAACATTTTATGTGTTGTATAAAATAAAATATTTTATATTCCTAAGGCCTGCAAATGTAAATAAATGCAAATTTATTTATTTGTTTATTTGTGTGTGCGCATGCACATGCACGTTCTGTTTGAAATAATGGGAAAGTATGAGGATTTGTGGAGGCATGGCTAGCTAAACTCATCTCCGTGGAGAGTGGAGAGAATGACAGTGGCAAAGAATGAAGAACTGGTGAGAAGACCAGTTCTTTGGAATCTCTCTGGACAAGGAGAGGACAGGAGATTTCCACATGTGCTCCGGATGGCTGCTCCTTGCAAGGAGACTGCAGGACAGTGGTCTCCCACGGGTTTGAGTGCTGGGAGACAAAGGGATCTGAAGGGCTTTATTTTTCTACACAATTTTATATATATATATATATATATATATATATATATATATAT